AGCTCCAATTCATGGTGACCTGTGCCTGGCCCTGCACCATCTCTGATTATTAGCAGCTTTGAGTCCATTGTTAGGGTTGCAGTGTCTAGTTCCTGGTGGGCCTCCCTCATTCACTGACCCTCTACTGTACCAACTACGCTGTCCTTTACGGGGACTGCTCTTTCTGGGTGACTCACACAAAGTAAGCAAGATGAAGTTTCACATCTCCAGGTCGCAGGCTATCTTCTGGCAGTACACAATGTGTTCTGTAGTATTTGCCAACACCACCGTTTGAACAAATCAATGTTCCACATTGCTTTCTTGTCCGGCTCTCACAAGCATGAGGTCACTGAGAAGATCATGGATAGCTTGGGTCAGATGTACCTTCATCCTTAACGTGACATCTCGTTGTAAAACGTCAGAGACCTTTTGTAGCACATCTGTCCAGCGCAGTACATCATTTGGTTTCTGACTGCAGCTTCCATTAGTGTTGACTGATTCAAGTAAATGGAGTCTGACGTCTATTTTTACTCCATTTAGCAAGATGTTTCCGTCCAAAAGTGATGAGTTTTGCTTTCTTCACATTTCAGTGTTGATGATCAGCACTGAAGGCGATAGTCTTTGCCTTCAGCACTAAGCTTCGAGTCACCCCGGCCAGGTTCACTTTCAGGAAGAAAGTTGTCTCATCTGCCCATCACAGCATGTTGAGTCTTCTTCCAATCCTCGGACCCTGCTGCTCTGCACATCTTCTAGCTTCTAGGATCCAGTAGGCACCCAGATGTAATAAGTAAGGTGAGAGGATATAAACGTCCGGTATATCTTTTCCTATTTGAAACCAGTCCCATGTTCTGTTTGAAAAAGTGCCTCTTGCCCTTTGTGCAATGTGTTATTCCAGGTGGACTAGAGAAACAAATCTAGGCCGACGCTCAAATGTGTATAGGAAAGAGCTTGGAAAAAAAAACAAACGAAAAAGGAAAAAAAAACCCAACCCAAGCCAAAACAAAGCCCAAAAGCCAAAAATAACCCAAAAGGCCCAAAACAAGCCTTTAAGTTCCTCTTCAGACTCACTCAACACTTGCAATGATGCCAATGCAGGAAGAACACAGGCCAGTGAGTGGAAAGTCTTGTGGATCCAGTGGCAGAAAAACCATCTCAGCGCTGGCAGGGCTCTACGGCTCTAGTGTAGCTCCATGTGTCTTTTTTCAACAGGAATGTCTTACAGGCAGCGTACATGTGTCCTGCCTCCAGCGAGCTATTTAACTCCTTAGTGCCTCCAAATGAGGTCACCAAACTGCCACCTGATTGAGAGGCTCAACTCCACCCCTTCACTCTTAAGTCTCAAATTGACAACAGATTATGTGACTACCACATGTGGGTTCCACATAAGCACACTTAAATGTTCTGCCATTATCATTCTTCATACTTTGTTAGAATGTATTTTAAGCCCACTGCCAGTTGGCTGCTTCTGAACTCCCTCTCCAGATAGTGAAGTAGTTCATAGCTTTAGAATGAGGCTTGTGTGTGACTTAGCAGAGGCTGAGAGTTGTCTCTCACTAGTAGCTTCTTGGAGGCTGCTGATAGCAGTAACGCATGGCTCTCCTTTTACTCCTGTGCTTAGAGAATTTCCTTTGCAAACTGTGGTTAGTCTTCAGTATTTTGTCTGCAAACTTGTCTGAAGAGGAAGTAGAAGGGTGGTGCCTGAGTTGCTTAGTCATATATTCTGTAGTCATATATTTGCTTAGTCATATATTCTGTAGAGCGGGAGCCAGCTTATAGTTCTCACACTTTTCTCACTACGAAAAATGGCCACCTTCTGTACAAAGGGTGGGTGAAGTCCAAAAGGCAAGCCTTCGTGGTCATCCCTTGGCCAGCAAGTAGGCAAAGAGAGTAGTGATTGTGTGACTGAGACGGAAGGAAGCAGGATGACTAAAAGAGTCACTGCGCTTTACCTTGTTTCCTTCGGGTGTTTGCTGAGTAGTTATTTAGCTATTTTATCACAGGGGTATGGTTCAAGAATAGTTGTTACGAAACACATTCTATTCACATCCAATGAAAGTCTGTCTGACTGTGGGCAGACCCTACAGTCGTAAACCAAACATGCAAAAATCCCCCCCGCTGACTGAGCATACGATCTAGGGGTAGGAGTATACGATCATGAAAATAATCACATAAAATTTTAGCTGAAGCCCTGTGACACTGGCCACCTTTGTAGGTATTGTTTAGCACTGACAATTTCAAGTGACTGACAAAATGGCCTTTCTATGGGCGTCAAAAAGGTTTGTGGGAAAAAATCCCACTCTTAAGTCCATTTGTCTCATGAGCTTTTAGAAGCCCCCTCATACACCAGTGTGGTGAGGAGGCAGGCAGGAAGCAGGGCGAGGTGGGTGGGCCACATGGCACGTAAACTGAAAGCTACTGGGAAGAGGCGCGTGTCGGGGGAGGGATCCAAACAGCAAACTCAGTGCCATCCAGTCGATGCTGCCGCCTACGACCTCATAGGACGGAGAGTGGCCCGTGGGTCCCGAGGCTGTAACTCTGGACAGGAGCGGAAGGCCTCAGCTTGCCCTCTTCGGGATGGTTGGGGGGTTCCTACTGGTGACCCCGTGGTTAGACCAACCCAGACCCAGGCCTCCCGTGGAAGGAACAGCAGCCCCAGGGACCTCAGCCGGCCTGCTTGTTCAAGGACGAGCTGGGTGGCTCCGGTCGAAAGGGTCTGAGTGATGAGCGTCTGAGAGGTAACATCAGCGAGGGCCTCCACGGCCAGGGGAGCAGTCTGGGATTTACCTGAGAACTGGGAAAGCTGTGTGGCCTTTCCCCTCCACTTCCTAGGAAGCAAAAGAGTCAGCCTGGATGATGTTTGTGATGAAAGGACATGCGTATTAGGGTGTTGGCTAGTGGCCGCAGGAATGTCGGGGCCAGACTGGGCTCTGATGAATGGCTGGCATGTTCATGGCAACCTGACAATGCTGATGAGTGCTGGGAGGCAGAGTCCACTCGGGCCAATCCGCTGGGCTGGGTGGGCAGTGGCAACTCCCTCTCGGACCCATGGGAATCTGGGCAAAGGCACGCTTGTGTTTGTCTAGGCTGGCTGCCGGGTGGGAGCGTGTGGTTTCAGCAGACATCACATCCACTGGGCCCTGCAGGCACACCGTAGCACTCCTGTCATGACCCTCCCTCGGGACACCTCTGTGGCCTCAGTCTGCTGCTGCTCCCCAGACGGCCAGCACAAACTCATAAGCAGGCACCCTACCTGACACGGGGCAGGCAGCCATTGTTAACTGGCTTGAAGTGCCTTGGGAATGGCATGTGAGCTGACGGAGAGGGAAACACCTGAGAGTTGAGGAGCGGCCCTGGAGGCAACCATTGTGGCTGGGCCCAGCATGCTCACTCCACCCAACTCACTCGCTGAGAGTCACTCATACGGACAACAGAGAACTGCCGACCTTGTGGGCGGCAGCCCAGTGCTTACCCACAATACAGGGCTCCTTGGAAAGGGGTCTCCAAAAAGCATCAGAAACAGCCAAGGTAATGGCATTTCTTGTTTCTAAAGCATACATTTAATAGGTAATTGGAGGCACATCGCAAATGTGAGCACTTTTGCCTTTCCAGCTGTTTTTCACGTAGGGAGGGACAACACGTGACGTGTTACCGAAGGCCAGTGTGGCGACTCAGGGCCTCAGAGGAGACAGTCTCAAAGATCCAAACCTGGGCAGGGCTTCAATCAGGACTAACCACTTTGTGTCTCCCCAGCTGAGCAAGGCCTCTTCAGATGGTGACCGCTGTCCTTTCAAGGGTCCTAAATTGTAGCCAGGTGTCTTTCCCTCTGCCCAGATCACTACCCTTTCCAAAACGGAGGTTCAAAAAGAAGCTGGCTCATATAGTCTTAAGTGTTACACTTGAAACTTCGTTTGTTTATTAAGGGAGGAGTCTTGCTGTAGGCAATAAGGTTTTTACAGACTTCCATACAAGTAGATCAGGAGGTTAGGATTAGCCCCATTTAACAGTTGGTGCGGGACCAGACTTAGATTAGGAAAGTTTCCCAAGATCCCCCAGCTCCAAAATGGCAGAGTCTGGATTCAGGCCTGCTGTCACGTACTCAATGACCTCCCCCAGCCTTTGCCTCAGTAAACACGGTGCTGAAGGCATCCTGCTGGACTGCAGGGCCTTTCTGCTGCATGATTCCGATCCTCTGACCAAAAAAAACCCCAAGACCTTCCATATTCCAGAAACATTCTCAACGGGCTGCATTCTTTCTCCTTGGGGGAACTGGTTCCATGCTCCTAGTAATTTCCAACACCGTCTCTCCGTGACGCCTCATTCTGCTGCTCCCCTCCAGCCTACGCTTCCCATTCTTGGAGTCGCCTCAGCTCCACATCACTGCTGGCCCTGCTGAGACACGGAGGGCTGTGGGCATAGACATACGGATGGATTCGTGCTCTGCCTAGAAAGCTCCCATCTGAGTAGGGCAGTGGGATTCATGTAGGTAGGAAGAGCAGCCAGACCCCCAAACCGCTCTGGTGGTGAGCTGCCCTTAAAGGATGGGGCAGCTATATGCTCTGCAAGAGCAGTTTCTCCTTGTAGACAGCGCCGGGCTTGGAATCTTTGACTTAGCCATCTGGCTGATCCAGGTGTCAACGAGTTACATCGGCTTTCTTGAAGAAAAACAGTTATGGCTTCATGTCCCAACAAGGAGCCCTGGTGTACTGTGGGTTGAGCATTGGACCGTTGACGACAAGGTCGGTGGTTCAAGTGCACCAGCCGCTGTGCAGGAGCAAGCTGGGGCTAGCTGCTCTGCTGGAATTGACCTGATGATGGGTGTGTGTTATGTCCCACGAGGTACAGAAGTGGCAGAAAATACTTCAATAAACTGCTCTCTCTTGCTCAGCTCCGATGAGGGAAGTCACACAGAGCCTCACACTGTTTGCAGACCTCGTGGCCCTGCCCCCAGCAGCAGTCAGGCGCAGCAGGTCTCTCTCTGCCTGCTGACTGTACCTCACTTGCCCGCCTTCTCTCCCCTGCAGGTCTGTTCCTCATCCTGGGCTTGGTCCTCTACCCGGCAGGCTGGGGCTGCCAGAAGGCTGTCAGCTACTGCGGACACTATGCGTCGGCCTACAAACCCGGAGACTGCTCCTTGGGCTGGGCCTTTTACACGGCCATCGGCGGCACGGTGCTCACCTTCATCTGCGCTGTCTTCTCCGCACAGGCAGAAATCGCAACCTCCAGTGACAAAGTGCAGGAAGAAATTGAAGAGGGGAAAAACTTGATCTGCCTCCTTTAGTTTGGGAGAAACAGCCGTGCCATTCTCTCCCCTGGGCAACAGTCACAAGTAGCCTCTGTCTCCTAAGCCCAGCCCCGGGCCCTCCCCAGACCAAGGCGAGGCAGCACCCATCTAGGCTACATCACTGTACAAGGGGCCACCGGGAGCAAACCTGCAAACAGTACTGAACCTGACATGTGGTTGACAAGTCCTGCCGGACCCGGTCCTTTAGGCAGCAGTCTCTCTGGAAAGAGGCGGTCTGGGAGCATCTCTGCCTGGGATCAGGGTTTGGGGTGGTGCGTTAGTGTTCCTCCTTGTCCTTACAGCTTCTCTAGGTTGGAGACTAAAATGCTGCCGCCAGACTTCCTGGGGCTGGGGACAGGGCAGAGCACATCACTCTGGCTTGCTTAGCTGACTAGGGCAGCGGGATCGTACCTGATTCCAGGGGGATCAACTAGCTGTCTGGCCACGATTTATGAAATCTGAGTAACAAAACAATAATCACCTGAATAATCATATGAAAGTAAAAGAAAAAAAAACATACTAGTGAAGACAAATTCCTTCCTCTTCTAGCAGCCAGGCTAAGGGCCTACCCTCCCCTTCCACTGCCACGGTCATGTGTTCTCCACACTTACTGTGCTAATGGCCAATGGCAGCCTCAAGGCAGGGCTAGGGATCTCCGGGCCAGCTGTGGCTCCTTCAGATGGTGGCTGGGAGGCCTTGCCAGGACCTCCACACACGGGGTCTCGACCAGCCCCACTGCATGGTGACGAGGCTGTGTTGGCTGTATTCACGATCCCAGTAGAATGGCACTAGCCACGGGTGTTTTCTAGCTACTCGTGAGGATTCTGAAAGCTGACAACTACCGTGACATTGGGGCATTGCAGCCAAGGCTCCTGGTTCCCTGGAGAACAAGGAGTAGAAAGCTAATGCAGAATGGGAGCTAGACCAAGCTCCTGGCACCTGTCTACACCTGTTTACAAAAAGCTCAACGCCACTGGCGTTGAAGATCCAGGAACTTTTCATCTAGTTTCCAGCAATTCAGGGAAGAAGATGGTATTAGCTGTCTCCTTAAATTTACTATGGATTAAACAAAGTCGCCAGTCCTGGCCATCCTTCAGCTGCAGAAGAGAACAGAAACCAACGCCAGCGAGTAGAGTAGGCCAGCCAGATTCAGGAAAGATAAGGAGAGGTGGTCTCTCTGGGTTGAGGAGGCTGCTCACGTCAAGGCATAGTTCTGGAAATTTAAATAAAGAGGTTGCACCTTCTATGTGCAGGGTATTGTGTGGCCAGCATCCCCGAATCCCATTACAGAGCTTGGCCCAAAGAAACTGTCTTCTCATGGAGACTGAGCCAAGCAAGGAGCAGGTCTGGATGAGTTCACTAGGCTTGGGTCCAAGTTCAGCAAAGGACTGTTTTTGAAAGGCGGTAAGCAGGCCTGGTCTTAGTCATCTGCATGATAGCGAGCTCGGCATTCATTAGCTATGTCACGACCACCACCCGGAAGATGATGGGAGCCTCAAACGAGGCTCCTGCCCATGGGTGGCGCAGGTGGCCAAGCACTCCTCTCAGCTGGAAAGGTCAGCAGTTCAAAGCCACCCAATGGTGCAGAGACACACAAGCCTAGAACACCCCATGGAGCAGTTTGCCGCCCACCCACCCTGGTTGCCACGTGTTGGAATTCAACCCAGCAGCAACCAAGACCTAGTGCCGCCACAGTCCTGTCTTAGCAAACCTGTTTTCATTGAAAACAGCCTAAGCAAGGCCCGGTACTGGGCAAATCATTTTGATAGTGTTTTCTCATTTCCTTAAATTTATCACAAGATTCACACTCCTTTTTCTCTTTACTAGCAAATCCATTTCCTGACACTCTTACCATCTTGCGCTCCTCCCCCGATGGGCCGTCAGCCCACAGTCATCTTACTTCCACAGCTCTTAGGCCAGAGAACAATCTGACAACCTCCACAAGGGGAACTGTGGCCTCTCTCGGCCACAACAAAACCGCTCAGAGGCTGCAGCATACCACCACCACACACCAATGACCGAATCACTGACATGGTAATAAGCAGAGGCGACATTTCTCGGCGAGACAGAAGAGGAGGTGGGAGCTTTTAAACCTCTTACCTCGAGCCATGCTCTGGGTGGGCTGAACGGGCTATTTCAGATCCTGCTCGTCTAACCGAGAGCTCTTCTGCAAAGCCACTGAGCACGAGGGGCTGCACCACAAAACAACATGGCTACACGTTACTGTTGGTTGACCCATGTCTAATTCCCTGTTAATTTTTACCCATCACCTAATCACCTCATCCTTAAAATCTATAGCTGGACCACTATTATTACTACTAGAAAAATATTTATTTTTGTCTGCGTTTGTGCTTAAAGTTTCATGATGGGCTGGCCTTCTCCATGAACTCCAAGGAAGCAGGACCCTGGCTTGGCTGCTGTGGACTCCTTCCACCTGTGTGCTAATGCAACAATGTCACGTTACTTGCGTAAGGGTGGCTGTCCTTTTCAAGCACCCGTGGTGTGAGCCCCTTGTTAGACATGTATTCTGTAAAGTGCCATAGTCTCTCTCTGTGTAGCATATTTAAAATTATAGAGATGTATATTATACATACACAAGTCTGTGTGAACGATGTGCAATAACAAAAGTATGTGTTGTTGTTTTGGAAACTGGACAGGAGTCAGACAGAACGGGGATGGTTCTGTTTTGGCAAAGGAGCGAGTTCGACATTGCGGCCGTCGTGGCCTCATCACTATCCAGAGCAATTCTAATGCTACACAAGTCGTATGTGAAGTAAAGACTGGTATGAAACCTTTTTTTTTTTCTTGTCCTGGCTCTGATTGAAGATAATCACTATATGTATGTGAAAGCCAAGCCAGGCCCAGCTCATGCTGGTCTTTCATGTGAAATGTGAAGCTGCCATGCTGCCTTATCGGTTAAGTGTGAGAACTAGTAGCTGGTGCGTAATCACTGCGGAGCTCTTTCGGAACATGCTTTCATAGACTGTGCGGATGCTAGACCACTATTGAAGGGCTAATCTCCCCACTGCGGAGCCGTATGGCTTGGCCTTAGACCAGACCTCTCTGTGCAATAACTCATGGCCACTGGAAAGCCCTGGCTTGCATTGGTATCTGGGTCGCCATGGCTGCCAAGGGCCAAAAGAAATTAAGAGGCACAACTGGGATTTCTTCTGAGACTCTGGTGAGACTCCTCCCAAGACTGGGGGGGTCATTGGGGGCTTCAGAGGAACTCAGCACCACTTGATAGTCAAGAGTCACTTGAGCCAAATATGAAACTCTACAGCTGACGGACTCCACGAGAGCCTTCAATGTGTGCTCCCCTGTTAAAGGATACACTAATACACTGTCCGTGTCGCATTGATTAGGTTCCTGTGCATACGTATTTTCACAACCTGCTCCCCTTCCCTTCCCCGGATCTGATTAAACCAGATTTTGCAAATTACTCCTGCCTCCAGTCTATCAGTTTCAATAAGATGGATATCACTTGATCAAAAAAACACCTGTCAAAATGTATTGTGAAATTCTGATGAGAGGAAGAAGAGGCGCTGGTATTTTAGATTTCACTAGTAACATAAGCAGGCAAGTGAAAAAGAGCATTTAGCTACTAGGGATCTAATTCATACATGTGGGGTTTTATTCCAAACAAAACACATTTAAGCCTGTCTGTGATCTGGGGATGACGGCAGACGTGTCCACCTAGTAAGACATTGGTCTTCAGCCTCATTGGGAGGCACCCTGGGGGCACTGTGTGGGGGTAGGTGTTGGGCTGCTGACTGAAACATTGGCAGTTCAAACCCACCAGTTGCTCCTCAGATAAAAATAGAGGCTATCTGCTCATGCAAAGAGTCACAGCTTCCGACACCCTACACACGGTGGCTTTGAGCCGGAATGGACTCGACCACAGTGGGGTTTGGGGAGTCTCATCAGGGTGCCTTCAAACAAGAAATCCCAGTCAAGACAGTGGCTTCTGGGCGGGGAGATGTGGGGCCAATTAAATTCCAGGCAGAGATGGCAGCTCGGAATGCTAGGAGGGCTGTTTCCTTTGGATTCTCGTGGGGCGCAGGAGCACCCCGACACTGACCTGTAAAGTTGTAACACTGGCCTGTGAAGTAGTAACACAGTGGAACACCTCCGTGTTGGGGACAAGGCCAGGGAGCTGCCCAGGAAACCTCATCCATCATGACAGTTCCCCTGCCCGTTCTGGGCTGGCAGCTCGGCCATCCTATAAGACACTACTGGGAAGCCCTACCCCACAGCCCCGACCTTGCCCCTTCAGGCTTCTTTTTTTCCACAAACTCAAAGAACAATGAGCAGGAGCACGGCCGGAGTCCCTTGAGGATACCCAAGCCCCCATTTTATATGGTGAAAGTCATCAAGCAGAATTCTTCCAGAAAGAGTGAACCCAAAATACCCAGCCCAGGGCTGCGAGTCAATTCCAACCCCTAGCAAGTCTACAGGGCAGAGAAGAAAGGTTTCTTAGAGTTTCCAAGACTGGACACGTCGTGACTGGAGCAGACAGCCTTATCCGAGGCTTGCCCCACAGTGCCAGCGGGGTTCTTGGGGGAGGCACAAGAGATGGAAGCACGGCCTTCAGGAGTGCACAGTCCTCTATGGCAGATCTTACCAAGCAGTAATCCCTTCACGTTGATGCTTTTTAATAAAGGTTTCTGAGGGTTTGTAGCAATGCTTTTTGACTGACCCCTTATATCCTGACCCGTAGGCTAATTCTAAGTTCAAGATCAGTAATGTATAAAATGCCACCTTGAAGATGAGCCAGCATAATTATAAGGACACCCCCCCCAAAGAAATCCCAAATATTCAACAAATATCTTAATTTTAAAGCTACAAAATGCAAAAGTGCTTCAAAATATTGGGAGGACCATGGTAATGTGAAGAAGTATGCATAATAATGACAAGCGGAGATGGAATCAACTGAAGCTTTTCCAAGAAAGACCAAAGAAGCTGATCATGCATGCCAAGTCTCACGCTCAGCAGGCAGATGTCTAATTTCTAAACTCAAAATGGCACTAACTGCGCCTTTAAAACTCTTATTCCTCTCTCCTGAGCCCCAGAAATCACCTATCATCTGACAGAATCGACAAAAACAGCTATTTCTCCCCGATCGGGGGCCTGTGACAGTTGAAACTACTTGGATGTTGTGGTTTCTAAACACGACACACCGGCCATGACTCCTTTCTAATCGAAATAGAACGTTGGGAACACCATCCAAGTCACTATTGAAGTCGTTTTCCTAACGAATCACGCACTGGAACCATCCAAGCAAAATGTCAATTCCGACTTCAAGAAAAAGGATGGGGGGGTTACATTTCAGCAGGGTCTGGGGATGCCACACCCTTGGTTTTCACCTGGGAAATGCAGATCAGCTTTCTGTGGCATGTCCTCGAAGACATGCTAATTCAATTTACCCTCAGCTCCTCCAAGTCCGCTTCCCAGAGGCTAGAACCATCGTGAAGACCCATCAGTCATAGCAACAATTTTCTTTAAGTGGGTAAGATTTCAGTAGTTTCCCATAATTCCAGTTGATTCTCAAATGCTAAAAGTTTAGGACCTCAAAGCCAACTTAGAGCCTGCTCTTTTTTCAAAGCAGAACCAACCACTCACTAGCTTTACTTCAGAGCCCCCAACAGCTTAGTCATTTGGCTGGGGCCATCCCAATGCTACCCTATCTTCTTCCATGCAGCTTTCTCTTCTCTCCCTGAAGAGTTCTTACAAGATAAGCAAAATTAGCAGTATAGATAAAAGCACAAATGGAAGGGGAGGAGCCGTAAAACCCAGCCTCTTGGGAAAGAAAATATGCAGTCGAGTAATGCATACTTATTAGCAGCTCTTTAATTATGCTGACTAATGCAACACCTACAGATGAGCCTAGTCTCCGGAAGCTGCTACCTTGATCTACAAAAGAAGAGCTCCTGGCAGAATTGGAGAGGTGTTTTATAAGAGTGAGAGACAGGACGGCTCGGTCACTGGTTAGAAGGGGGCGGGGGCAGGAAAGAGTCCAGGATGACTTCCAGTCATGGAGTTGGGTAGTGGGTGGACAATGAAGCCATCACAGAGGGTTAGGAGGGTTAGCTGAACCCGACAATGGAGAGATCCTGTGTGCACTGAAGAAAAAAGTTTGGAAAGAGACGGTGGTGTCAAGAGTGTCCATGGATAGATCATAGTAAGTGTTTTCAGTTACTGTGTACTTTCTGTGTAAAAGCACTGTGTGACGCACTTTGCACAGTTGTGCTTTTTCGCCAATAACTTGTGAGGTAGACACTCCTAGCATCCACTTTACAAATGAGTTAACTGTCACGGAAGTAAATGAGGTCAAATAATTTGCCCAAGGACGAAAAGCAGGTGAGTGGCAAAGCAAGGCTCAAGCCCATGTTTGACGTTATGCTTCCTTTGACCTACAGTACGCAGGCTGAGGTGGGCACACCAGCCTCTCCCTCAGCAGGGGCCACATCAAGTCACGTCCAAACACATCTCCAAAATGGTTGCACCACTAAATGCCAACTTCCTCCCTCAGGAAAAGGCCTGGTCATTTTTCAAACTGTTCAAAATTGACATTCAAGATCTCAATCCATCAATCATGATTTAGCTCAATCCTGAAACAGATTCTCAACATTTGTCAGGTATATGACTGTGATAAATATATACTATCCTTTGAAGGGTTTTTTTTTCCTTTCTTCCCAGTAGAAATAATCTCTCATACAGAGTACTTACCTATTATGATTACCTGAAGAGACAACACCACCCCCCACCCCCGACCAAATTAACAAGAACAAGAATTTTTCTTCAACTGCAGTTTCTCTAAACACAAACAGATGTGAAGGACCACTAGTACACTCACTGCTGAGGCGGCAGCAGCTTATGAAGCTAGCCCCAGGGCTGAGCCTTCCAAGAACTGGCTCAACTTTCTTCTTGGTTTTACTTTTCCCTAGTGTCTCCTTCCCTGGGGGGTGGATGTGGTTTACTAGAAATGCAGAAGGCTGGAGGGAACACAGGGTCCCAGAGGGGGTGGCCCAGTAGAGAAGTCCCCCATGTGGGAGGAAGCAGAGACCTGGTTCTAGCTGTCCCCCTCACTTCCCCCAACCATCACTGCTCTGCAAATGGGAGACCTGGAGTAATAAAAATGGGAAAAGTACAAATTACATCATAGGTTTGTTGTGAGGATTGAGTAAAGTTACATACTCAGAAAATGGCAAGTCTTAAGAGAGTTTTCTGTCTGCCCCAGATTGATGGCATTCAGAGTTGTATAAAAATTACATTTTGTAAATGTAACATAAGCCTTTGGCAAAACCAACTTAAGTTTACCTTCAGAGAGAGGCTCAGTGGGTTGCTGACCTGGAAGCCACCATCTCTTTTCCATCCCGTATAATATTGTTACAGCTCCAGAAAGGAGACGGTCCTCAGTGGATGCTCCACAGTACTGGTCCAAGCTACTCCTGTTTAGTAGACATCACAGAATTGACAGGTAGTGCAGGGTGAGCCCCAGAACGATGGGAAACAAGGCTATGCTCAGAAGACAGCGCGCCTTGATTATTTCTCAGTACCTATTGGTGGTAAAGGTGCATCTAGGTGGGGTGGAGAAAGGCGCTTTTGCATCTGCTGCTGGAGGCATAAGCTGGTAGTCTTTCTGGAGAGCAATCTGCCACTGGGCCTCAAAGGCTGTTAAAACGTAGGCATACTCTTTGGCCCAGCCATTTGTCCTATGGAAAAAGGAAAACCCTAAGCCCCCATATCTAGCAATCATGATATTCCATGATAAATTTGAAGAAAAAAATTAAGGCAGGAACTAAAGGAATCATAACAGATATTAGAAAAATGATAGACCATCTAAAAGCATGCAGCCCCTAAAATAGTTTTATTATGTGTTCAGAGAAAAAAAGCTAAGATGTATTTATATCAGAAATGGGAAAAATTACCAAGCCCGTGTTCACATTCCCCAGCTGAAAGTAAAGGAAGCCACCCAGGCAAGCTGGAGGCTTTCACACAGAACATGGGAAGCTCTCCCGGCAGGCTCGTTAGTCCAGCCCTTCCCGGCCCAGCACTGACCGCATGCCTGCTTCCTGCTCCGGGAGTCCTGTCTTCGGGACTCCCTCCTGACACAATATGGTACTCAGTTTGGCAATTTGGAACAGCATCGTTGTGGACAAATGCATAGTCTGGATCTATGTGCAATGACCAGATGACACGAACGCCGAAGTGGCTTTCAGTGGTCGAAGGAAACGGCCCTTGAGAGCGTCTCCATCAGAGACCACAAGGGCACTCTCCCCTGTCAGTTACAGGGAGATTCATCGAGATCTCCCCTTTCCAATTATATGAAAATTCACAGAAACCCAGTTTTGACTTACCTGTGTGATTAGTCGTGGTTTTAGATTTGAAACTTCTCATTCTCTTCTTTTGCTTTTAAATACTTACTATAATTTGTTCTGAAGTATATATGAATTTTATAAAGAAAAAAGCTCATTGAAAAATAAACATAGCAAAAAGAAAGAAAAATAAACATAGCAGGCCACTGTAACAAAATGCCAAGTGAGGGGAGGAAGTCCCCACCCTCCCCCCCAAAATCCAACATACTGCATATACTCATGTATAAGCTGAGTTTTTCAGCACACTTTTAATGCAGTTTTTGTGGTAAAATTAGGTGACTCGGCTGATATTCAGGTCAATTTACACTCGAGTATATAGGTACTTCTTATAACCCTTAGCTCTATAAAATATCACCATACAACAAAAGTATAATAAAAAACCCTTAAGTGACAGAATTGTGTTATTTTATTTTTATAATCATATTTACCAATTTCCTACTTATTCTTATATTACATTCACAGTTACAAAAACACTTTTGTTTGGGAGAAGTGGATGCCCACAGAGCCCTTCACGGTGGGCTGGGTTTGTGTGGGGGCCTAGAATATTGCCGGAGCCCCTGTACCCACCCTTAGCGTGAATACTCCTGAAGAGGTGCTACCACCTCCCAATAGTCATCGCAGCTCAAAATCATGGCCCACAAAATTGTCAAAGCCTCCTGGAGGAATTCCAGAATTACATGCAAGTAAGTATTGAAAACAACAAAAAAGCACAAAAATAAAAGGTGCAACATATGACCCTTCAAATCAGAGTTGTTTTAATGCAGAGATGATGATGTTCAGAGTAACCTTGCATACGTATATAAGAAGTAACTAGGTAGAAGGATTAACTATTGTCTTTCTCTGTTACAGAAAAGACAAACCCAATTTTTGTGGCAAGCAGGTTGTAGATACACCATCAACCAGGCCAAGAAACCAGATCGCAGATCAACAGAAAGTGTACTACAATATGAACACTGGCAGGAGTCAGTGCAGTGCCGCACACTGACTTCTGGGGTCCGTGCTGAGGAACATGGACACCGATAAGGAAAAGTCTGCAGGCAGAAGGCTTTGTCTCATTCAAACCACAAAGTTAAATCTGAGGAGCACAGTACAAGTGAGAAAGACGCTTGCTTCTCCTTTCCCTGGAGTCCTTCAGATGGAGATAGCTGACGCTCTAGGACGGAGGTTCTCAACCGGTGGGTCGTGACCCCTTCGGGGGTCCAGCGACCCTTTCACAGGGGTCGCCCAATTCATAACAGTAGCAAAATGACAGTTATGAAGTAGCAACGAAAACAATTTGATGGTTGGGGACACCACAACATGAGGAACTGTATTAAAGGGTCGCAGCCTTAGGAAGATTGAGAACCACTTCTCTAGGATAAATTGGTGGCAATGTTTAGCCACAAGAGAATTTAGAGAATGCTAAACTTAGAAATTTAGAGGATTTCTAAAGATTTCTTTCTGGAGCTCTATATACTGTGATCAACCTAAAGTTTAAAAAACACTCATCAATGCAAAATGTATGGCATTTTGTTCAATGTATTTTCAAATTCTGGTGGAAATACATCACTTACCATAACACTTAGCCAGTGAGGTACATATGCAACTTTTAAGTTTCACAAACATGTTTTTAAAACAACTCTAATGTTTTAAATCACATGTTCTACTCTAAATAAATTAGAACTTGAAAATCTGTCAAAGTTAAGCGTTTTTTAAATTTTTAATCCTAAATTATTTTAAAATTAACCACATTTATTTCACCTCAACAGGGTTTACTCACATGGAATCAACAAATTTCTCTAAACATTTTCTGCAAGAAAAAAAAAAGGGAAGGAAAGAACGTGAAATGATGCTCAAAAGCCACTGTCGTGCGCACCCATATGCACCCGAGGGGAGGGGAAAGCCCAAAATTTAACAAACTCTGTACATCCACTGCTATGCTAAACACAGATTTTACCAATAAGGATGAAACAATTGGATGTTACATGCCAATGTTTTCAGAAAAATGATTACCACCCACAATGTCTAAAAAGCATTATGCTCTTACAAATGATTTACAGAAACAATTCATAAATCCCAACTTAACACAAATCAGAATGCAAACTATACATTATCTCAATATGGATAATAGCTTTTCCTAGTAACTTAAGTTTGCAAATCTAAACGCACTTCACCTAGATGATCTATAAGACTGGACCCATTTTAACATGTATTTCCCAAAATAAGATTCCCTATGAACATTACTTTAGGTTATATTTTTACATACTCTAGATAACCAAGTGGAAAAGCCAACAAATAAGTACTTTCGACAGTACATAAAAGAGCCATAGGTTTGCGGTCAGGAAACAGAAAGAACACAGGTTCCATAGAATCCATACATTGCCAGTACAGAGGCATTCATTCCAATCCCTCAGGAAAAACAAAAGAGGTTTTCCAGGGCCGATCTGACCACCTTCCAGACGAGAAGTTGGTGTGTCTGGACCTTACAGCGGGGCTTCACGACGACACTCATGTCCCACTGCCCACGTGGATCTAACGCAATAGAAAACAATGCCATCTTACGATGCTAGGAGTTTTTGTTTTCTTTTAGTTTATCTTTCACATTATTTGTTTTAGCACATGGTAGAATTATCACACAGTTATTTTTACAAATCAAATGTGGCATTCCTATGTGTATTAAACCCTCTGCAGAATTTCTGCCTCTGAAGTATTAACATTGTGTTTAAAATTATACAAACAAACCCTCCAGTAAACAGCATTTTATTTTATGACACTCTGTGTTAATACAATAAATATACAAAACTTCCAAACCACTGAAAACATGCAACATTAGAGGAACAGATGGCGGGCATTTATACAGAACCATGGCAGTCACCAGGAGAGCAGCACAGGATCACTCACCAACAAAATATACAAACAACCCCAATACAGAATCCAAGTCCCAGGTTACAAATCATGAAGCAATGATTTTCCAGTGTTCAAACTTGACTGTGAAATAGAATTGCCGAGATTTAATATTGCAAACTGAAAGTGACGTGGAGGCCCACTCTGTGATACCTGCTCCTGACTGTGATCCTGGGTCACTTAGTACGAAATATGAAGCGTTAACAAATGCCATCTTTTGCTGAATGAAAATGTGACTTACTGATTGATTACTGTAATTACTGTTCAGAGACCAGGGGTTACAAGAGTTGAGAGCCTCTTTTATATCTGATCAAACTGTCAGCGTCACCATGATTTCAATGCACAACGAAGTTTATTAAACCAAAAACGTCTTATCCCACCAACTTGTATTAAAATAGCCCCGATAACGGTAGTTTAGAAGACCAATCTCCTTGTGCACACAGGACACTTTGCTTGTAACTGTGGATTGATAAGTAGCAATGCTACTTTGGAGGGTTTCTGCGTCACAGAAACATTTCTATTCTGAAGAAAAAGAAATGTATTTTGATATTTTTCAAAAGTTTCTCTAAATATTTTATTTATACTTCAAAGGGGAAAAAACCCAGGGGTATAAAGTAATGGTGAACACGGGTGATGTTGTATTGGATGCTGACTGTTTGAATGACTGCATATTGACGAAACAACTTCCCAATCATAAGATCACATGGAAAGCGTGAAGTGACTTGGTTGAGAATAGGGGTAAAGATGATCACTCATCAGAAATGTTCGTGAAAACAGCTTCAGATTTCATATTCTGAACCCTATCTTCTTCAGAAGATCACTTTCTTCAAAGTATATTATTTCAATAAAGCCCCTGAAAAATCAAATGTAAGCACCATCTGGACTGATCCATGGTAGCAAGTACCACGCATGTTTCTTCACAGACAGAGACCCACTTCCTCATCCTCCCCGCCTCAGCCTGGAGTTCACTTCAACTCTATTTGGGAAGGTGAAGGAAAGTGACATAATCACCTGTTTTTGAAGGATTTGCTGTTTCAAATAATACAACCCAGTACAATACCCTTATTCAGAATCAATTTGAATAAATCACTACTATCCTTCTGCAATCTTAAATTTGTTAAAGACTTCCAAAATACAGGAGTATTCCTTTACACAGAACTGTGAGTCATTTGATAGCATTAAGAAAGACCAGAAGTTTAAACCCAAGAGGGCCATAAGAGTGAACTGGTAAACCCACTGCCCATCAGTCCATGCCAACTCCTAGCCACCTGGACAGGGTAGGGCAGACCTGCCCCGGGGGCTCCAGAGACAGCAACTGGGTCTGGGAGGAGACAGCCCCGTGTCTCCCCACAAAGTGGCTAGGGATAACAAACTGCTGACCTTAAAGGTAGCAGCCCAATACGTAACCACTCCACCACCAGGACATAGTCACAATTTTAAATATGTTTCTCTCATAATCAATGTACTTAACTATTGTTTTTTCCCTTGGTACAAAGTGTTTTTCTATTATTTTTAATCTGTCCATGTTTCAAATTTTCCATGTTTTCAATCTGTCTCAAAACCAGAAAGATGAGACACATCTGGAATTCAAGTATATGTGCGATGTGAGGGTCTTTTTTTTTTTTAATATCATGAGCGATGACAGGCTAAAAGAAAAATGCCTTAAATACTGTTTGCTCATTTTGGACAAGAAGCTAAGTAAGACCTTAGTACCTCTTACAAATTACACCAAAAACGGAAAACAAAAAACCAAACCTAAACTAAAACACAGAGCTGCCAAACACATTCCCAATTCAATTAAAAAAACCACAAAAATATACCAAAGTTTCCATACGGTAATATCTTTCTATTATATGAATACTGAAACTTTGTTTAAAAAATGAATTCTTATCACTAAGTTCTACTCCATTGACTATCTTCCTTTTCCTTTGGATAATGCACTGCCTGTTCTATTAAACTCTCATATTGCACTCTGACCCATTTTTACTCAAAAAAAAACTATTACTCAAAGTCATTTCTATGATTCCACAAATTACAAACAAGCAAAAACTCCAATCCAACCACCAGAGCAGTGCAGAACCCAAAACACTACATCAATTAAGAAACTCAGTATCCATGCAAGACCAGAGATTGATAGCAAAATATCAACTACTTTTGAAAAGGAAAACACAAAGCAGGTAAAGTGTACATAATCTATGAGATTCACACAGCCTTTTCACTGGTGGCTGAAATTCCTAAAAGTCCAGCCAATTTAAAATTTCCCAAGTCTCCAATTTAAAATTCCCACTGCCCTATTTCTATCAGCATACACAGGGAAATAAGGAATGCAGTTTTTACTTTACTGCTCCACTGGGCAATCCTTATGAATAAAGATTACTGAGAGAGCTACGGCGGCTAAGACTAGGTGCATGTTGAATCATAAGTACATATTAATTTCAGCGTGTCACCACTGAAATAATTCGCTGAACATTCATCCCCCAAAAAATATGGAGAATATTTATTTAGCATATAATTTTTTTTCCTGCAAGGGGCACTGAGATATTAAGAAAATGATTAGGTAAATAAGACAGGAAGTTTTTCTGGTTTTCGCCCATGCACAAGTGAACAGGAACTATACATGCACTGTGTCCCTTGTGTGTTTTGAACATAAAAATATTTATAGAATACAGTAACGAGACAAAGTACAGTCAGAAGGTAACAGTGTGCTGTTGGGAACGCCCTACATCTGGTTACCCTTGAATGCGTTCTGAGCAGCACTAGTTGCCGCAGTGGACGCTGCATTGGCGGCTGCAGTCTGGACAGTTTTGTTGGACATCACACCTGTCGCAAACTCCTGCTGGGCCTTCTCAAAACTCGCACCTGTGGTGCGATATAGTCCATGTACCTGCAGAGAAGGTAAACAGGAGGAGAAGTTAAGTGGCAATCCACGTATTCCTTTTAAGCAGCTCATCCATTCACCTCAACATTCCTCAGAGGGGGAAAAAAAGACCAGATTTGAGTGTGCGTCCCAAGATCAAGAGCATCAGTCACCTGCTGACACCCAATGCTGTGTCCAATGTTGTGTTTAAGCATCTGTTAATACAGGTTTGTCCCTAGTGTCCCCAGTGAAGGAGAAATAGGAAATGATGTACAGAACAATGTCTTAACCAAAAATAAAACCCTATGTGCTCCTCCTCTGCACCCAATGAGTAATGGTTACAAGGTTCCCACAGAATGGCTCGAACACATGGGCAGGAGGTCTGGGAATAGATACAGACTCAGTGGGACCCTAAGGGAGGTAGGGTGCTCCTCAATACAGTTCTCATACAGCTCTGGCTGCCCTCGAACAATCAGCAGGCTCACTGCCATGACGGGAAAAACAGTTCTCAGCACGACTTCCCTGGGTTTTGTTGCTGTTTTTTTTTTTACACCAATGGATGGCAGTTTTCCATTTGCTTCAGACTTCATAACCCCGGTAACGGTCCTGCAAAACCAGTCACCCTGACCTTCTGGGCTGAGCTCGGACGTGCACTGAACTGGCCCAGCAGATCCCTTCAGAAGCCATTGTCAGAGCTCAGCAGAAAATCCAGGACTCATCCCAGGTCATGATTTGTTTGACAAAATCTCCTTCGTTGGCCTCAACCTTCCTTAAAAGACTGGTGGAAAGATGGGCTCTGTGAGGTGACTCACCGTCACACACAGCTTTGGGTGCCCATCGAACCAGAGGCTTCCGAGGCCGAGAGGATCGCTTAATTAATGGAAAATTCTGGGCCATCTGTAGTTCGTAACTTCAGTAGCTAGTGCAGCATGGCAATTCTATGGTCTTCTGCCAGTTCCTGCATTTTTGCCAGTCTCTTCATTCAACAAGGCTGACGATCTTTCTTGGCTCATCTCTGATGTCTTCCCCACCTTCCTTAAAATGCATGACCCGTGTGAAAACGGGGGCTGTATGTGGGGCAGGTTCCCATCAACATGGTGCCAGGCTTCAGTGACTTGGGAAGGTCCATCCGAGTTTTATTGAAAACTAGGTAGCAATCCTGATCCCAAAATGGTGTTTGTCCAATACCAAGAATATTTTAAAGGCACCTTAGCAAGACTAGCTTTTAAACCAATTAAATGAAGGAAAAAATAGGGTCTCCTACAAAGTCTCTGTGACTTATTCCTTGTTGCTTAGCTGGCTCATTTGTAATACCTTTCCTTATCCCCAAACCATTATTTAATTATTTCTAAAGGTTTACCGACAGAAAGTAGGCCTTTTTCACAAAAATAACATTTCAGAGTATCAAAAACCAAAAATCAACCCACTGCTGTTAAGCCCCGCATAGTAACCCCTATAGAATTGGTAGAACTGCCCCCAAGTATTTCCAAAGCTGTAAATCTTTAAGGAAGTAGGGAGAATTTTACGGTTAACAGTTAAAGGCTTAATCACTGTACCACCAGAGATTATATGGGAATAGTCTGAAAAAACTTTCAATCTATTTGTGAAAATAGGGACTTAATCATTCCCATACCTACTAAGAAGTACCGGACAAACACATCCTTACATTGTTATTTGAAACCTGGATAAAATGGCATTCGGAGGGGAAAAGTTATCACTGTGCATAGACTGGTTCTCTACACACCAACAATCAGCTAACTCCAATTGTGCAACACTTCAGAAAGCCAATAAAAGTGGAACGTTATTTTTTCATTCAATTGAAATACGTACCATAGGCCATGTTTGGCTGAGGATGGAGAAAATGAAGAGCCTAAAGCCAAGGCAGCACTGTGTGTGCAGACAAAGGGCGTCAGCTGACCCCTAGTGGTTACAACGAGACCTACATGCCCTTCAGAAGGCTGTTTGGTTTGGTTTCAACAGCTCGTTTTGAGCAAGTGTTAAAAATAAAATTAAAAAGAAAAATAGGCGTTTTGATTAGCTCTTAACTTCTATCATCGTCTCAACTTCTACAAATCTGAGGGCTGGCTCAAATAATATTTAGTGTAGTGATATTTTAGCTCAGACCACCCCCAAATTATCTTTCATAAAATCACTTCCCCTCCTTTCACCGATGAACCATTTGAGACCTCAGAAAAGTTCAGAGATTTATCGGTACAGCACTGAAGACCTGTGTACCTGGACAACCAGACTGGAGATTAACAGGCAGGTGCTGCACACGCCTGCTGGAGGCCCGGCCAGAGCAGGGTGAATACCTACTCCCGAGGCGCACCTAACTAGCCACTCGACTGCAGCGGCAGAGCTCGCTGAATGAGCCCTGCTGCCCAGGCTCTCCCCACCCTCTTCTTGCCGCCGAAGATTATTCAACGTTGGCAGTGTACTTCCCTCGGCCCTCTTCTCACGCCACACACTTTCTAGGATTCACTTATAACAAGGAATGAATTCCCAAATCTAAAAATCCACCGAAGTTCTTGGGGTTGCTCCAGGATGTGGATCCCCAAACCAAAACACTGGGTGCACTGCTGTCCCGTCACTTCAAGTTCAGAGTGAACTGCCACACCGTTCTCCCGTGGAGAAGTCAGCGAGACTGGCCCACCAGTCATAGCTGAATGCTTTCATCACTGCGCCAGAAGAAGGCTCCCTAGATCCAGGAGCCTACTGTTTATACTTCAACACTCCACTGGCATTCTAAACTCTTCCCCCCTTCAAAGGTGAAATCATCGTATCAGCAAACCTGCTTTTTCCTGTGCTTTCTCTTCCTCAATGGCCCGAGTATCATCTTGGACTCTTCTCTCATCTCGCACTTCTAAGCCTGACATCATCAAATCTATCACTACCTGCCTCATTTCCTCTGGCTACAGCTGCTTCTACTTCGTGACACTGCCTTAAGTTAGTCCTTTTTTTTTTTTAAACATCTTTATTAGGGGCTCATACAACTGTTATCGCAATCCATACACACATCAATTGTGTAAAGCGCATTTGTACATCATTCTCAAAACA